GGTGAAGAACTCAATTCAGTTGATTCAGCGATACTACAGAATTGGCTAAAGTGCTGTAGAAAGAGTAAAAATAATTTGTATTTCTCTATTAAAAACATTTTTTATTTCTCTTGAAACTTGCCTTCAGTAATAATTAACTCAAATGTTAAAACTGATGGGACAGCATTAGCAAGAAACAGTTAGTTATCTTAGAGGGCATTTATTAAAATATTTCATGTACTTTGCCAAAGTACTGTGCAAGAAAAGCTTATCTATGCCCTATGTTGACCGATTTCATTAGTCATCTTTTGCTTTTTCCTTTAGATACTGCCTCTCCATAGGTCAGGTGAATAAAGTCAAAGAGTTGTGTGGCGTTGGCAGCGTTACCCAAGATTTTGGAGAGTTCGTCCTTTGACAGTGTCACTAGCTCTGCAATGCTTTTAACGTGGTTCATTAAGGCACGGCAGTTTTTTGCATTAACACCTGGCATTTTTAATAGGAAGTCCTGGGGACCAGGGTTATACTTGTCTGACTCAGGAAGAATTTCGGAATCTGCTGTGACGGCCATCGCTGTTTCTGCATCAGGTTGGGGATGGTTCTGTTTTAACTCTTCAAACAGTTCAGCAGTAGCGTGGGGCGAGGGACACCACAGGATACGCAGCTTTGGGAAGTGGAGCGTAAGAAGGGTTAGTTTAGAAGTAATATCATTACTGGAAATCTCCTGATGTAGAGCGCCTCGTGGAATCAAGGAGAAAGGTTTGTTAGGATCAAATTCAATCAGGAGAATTGGTCGCTTATAGTAACGGGACATAGAAGTGCATTGTGCGTACAGGCGTCCGTTATTTAGGGAACCAATCAGATCGCTGATACTTTTCCGCTCTACGCAGATATCAGGAGTTAAAATATAATCTCCAACTTCCAAAGTAACAGGCTCAATGTCAATGCCGCGACGGTGAATCAGTGACGGAAGCTCACTGCGGAATTCCCGCATGTCCACTATTATGGTTTGCTGAACATTCTTCTGCTCCTGTCCACCTGGAGAGCAAAATAAATAGTTACCTAATACCTAGCACCTCAGACTCTGGTTTCATAGTATTCCCGTGTTCTGCCAATGCTTCTGTGATGGGTGACTTCACATCTCACTGACCTTCACAAATTCAGCAGTATAGTAAATCCAGACTTTATTTAATTTTTCACTGTTATAGACAAAAATCAGTTGCCAAATTATAAACTGTATTTTATGGTGTAGCTCTGCTATAAGCTTTGTATATGTGACAATGAAATATGTTAAACTGTAGATTAGAATTATTTAATGCATCAGGAAAATCTTCAAAAAGTTGCCTGGAAAAAAAGGCAGTGAACAATCCTTTTCATTTCTATCTATCTGTTTCCCACAGAAATATGGCATTTTATTGTAGGAGTTACATCTTGGCCTTACATAGATCTGTAGCAGGACACATGAAGAGACTGCAGCATCAAGGCCGCAAAAGACATAACAGCAAAGATTAGAGAGCACACAGTAAAGGAAAGCAGGACTACAAAAATGACAGCAAAGAAAAACAGGGGCAGAGCTGTAAGGCTGAAGACAGAATACACATGTCAAAAGAAAGGAACAAAAATGTGGTTAGAACTGCAACAAAAGATGCTTTATCACAAAGAAAGTAGACAAACCCCACAATCTGCAGTTATGTACCCAGGCAATCTCTTCTGCTGAGATCAAAACAAGTCCCCAACCTTTACTAGCTCAAGGATGACACTGCCTTTGACTATCTGCAGACTTCAGTTTTCATGTTTTAATTTCTCTCCACCTCGCTACAAACAATACTAGACAGCCTCATAACCAACAAGCTGCCCAGTAACGATCCAAATAGTAGCTGTCTTAATGGTAAAATACTTCATTAATCCACATTTTCTTTTCAAGGAAAAATGTAATTCTTTGTTATTGTGCAGACGAAGGTGGATGGAGTTAAGGGAGAAAATGTTTCTTTACCATCAGGACTAGAGTCAATGTGCAATGTGTCAAGACCCAGACACCTGGGACAGGATTTAAACACACTACTTCTAGGTCTTTTCCAAGCTCAGAGCTGTGGCCCAGCTTCAGGAACCGCTCACCTGCTTTGCGCGTGTCAGTAGAAACAGAGGCAGGTTTAGCATCTCTTATTAGGTCTAAGTTTGTTTCATCTCTTCCTTCTCTTTCTTCAGGAACAACCATGCTGGCCTTCTCTCTAAGGAACCACAAACAAAAAACTACTAAAAACTGCAATAATATGAGAAAAATAGATCAAAATACTTTAATACCCTTCACCCAGATGTAAAATTATATATAGTTTAATACTAATTACAGATCTGAGTGGAAATGCAATTCAGCAGGTTTTCTAGATTGTTGGGCTAGATGCTGTATTTTCATTTTCAGTTGTTACCACTCTTTAGCATTTGATTTTTTTTTTATTTTTAAAACTTCTCATGGCACATGAAACAAAGGAAGTAATGACTAGTAATAGCAGTATGACCTGGTGAGAAGACAGACTCAGTAAAGATACTGTCCTATACTGTGTAAGAAAATAATTGTTTTGGTCCCCAAAACGACTGAAGTAAAAAGCCTTAGAAATATCTTACAAGAAAAGTTATCTGCAGACAAAACCAGATCTACAGAAATAAAATTCATAGCCAAATGGGTAAAAATACAAGCGGTGCTGTTTAGCCTTTGAAATTCAGTATTAAACCCCTTAAAATTAATAAATAAATTATCAGGTGGTTTGGAAAAGAAGGGTTTGACTTTTTGTTGATTCTCAGTGGGAAAATGATCTTAACATCTGAAAAGAAATTAAAGAAAAAGTTTATTTAAAGCCTTCACACATTTAAGAACTTCACTTTTTAAAATGTAAGCATACAAGGGAATTACACAAAACATTAATAATAAAGGTAAGTAAAATAGTTTTGTTACCGAATGAGTTTTTCGAAGGCCTCCTTCTCTTTTCTCAGAGCTGTGAGATAACGCTGTTCTTCTGTCGAGCCCCCATATATGAGGAAATAAACCCTGTAGGTTTGGAAGAAAAAAGAAAAGAGAGAAAAAGATCCCAAAACTTTGTATTAAGTTAAAAATAAACTACAGTATTTAAGATTAGTACTAGTAAGTGCCTGACAAGTTAGTACATGCCTTAAAAAAGGCAAGTGAAAACACCCCATCTTTCTCTGTAAAAATATTCCAAAATCAGCAACAAATTTTTATATCCAGCGTTCCCTCTTTTCCCAGTGACAGAAATGCTTACTGGAATTCCAGGATTCAGCCAGAGTGGACTCAGGTTCAGACAGCCATTCAATAAAGACACAAAGTTACTTCTCACTGTTTTAAAAATCTTTCCAGTATAAAATATATATATATATATTTTATATATATATATATATTAAAAAAAATATATATATATTTTTATATATATAAATATATATCAAGCTAAAAAATCTGCAGTCATCCTGGGTTAGGAAAAAACACCATCTAAGATTTTAAAATTATGTATTTGTACAAGGATATCACAGGTTCTACAAAGAACAAGCTGTCATTTATCTCACACAGATGAACACACCAACAAATTAAGTTTCATTCCGCAAATAGGGATTTATATGGAACATATAAGAATTAATAATTACCTTAAGGAATAATTACCTATAGCTTTTGAGCACAGTTATTTTTTTCCAATATATTTTAATTGAGGTACATTTTGACAGAGTGATAGGATTTTATTCCTACTACTTTTTTTTCAAGTGGTGCATCTCCTAGCCCCTACGTGCATGACTACATCTGCTTTTCCTGCTCTGAAGGGTGGGAACCTGATGCTGGAGATAGATACAACACATGCTCATTAGGCAATGAAAAATAAATTGTACAAATAACCCAGTAATTATCCTCATGTAATATACTCTGAGTTCTGTCATTTATATCTGCGCTAAGGAGTCCTTACCTGGATATCAGGTACAGACACACTAAATACCACCAGACCGACTTCCATTTTCAGTTACGTTGCATACGTACTACTCTTTGACTGAAAAATTACAACTGCTCTTTTAAATTTATGCAAATAATTTTCATTAAATCATTAAAGCATAAAGCATTATAATTCCAAAGCTAATAATTTTATATGCCAATAAATTGTGTTTCAACTGTAGTGAGTAAGTAGAGTGTTTTTATTCTAAGACTTAAGAAACTGCCATAAGTTATTTTCCGAGAGGTGCAGGTATAACTACAGTTTGCTGTATTCAAGAAATGCTGTATCAGGCTGCCATATAAATGAAAATACTGCAGAAACTCAGAGTATATTAAATATTAAGTTTTCTGTATTTTTAAATTAGTCTGTAACATCTATTAATAAGAATTTTGCAATTTACAAATGTATCGACTATATATACACAATGCAGAAATCTTCCTGTCAGCTCGCATCAGGACTGAGCATAACTGCAAAAACTTCTTATTTTCTTTATTGTGTTTTCCTTTACTTGTTTTTCTGTTACAGTTTCTGAACTACTGGTCTTCAGCTTGACCAGACAGCAGGAAATGTGAAAATTAATTAAATCCAAAAGGAAGCTTTTTGTGTAAAAATCATACTTCTAGAGAGGGTTTAAAATGAGATTACAACCTCAAAATGAATCTTTAGCCACTAAGATAATGCAAAAAGAGGTCAATGGAATTCACTTTTTTTAAAAGCACATATGTTTCTGTCAGGGGACTAAGTACCTGCTGGGAAGGAAAAATTATCTTTTGGTTAAATCAGACATTACGCTTTTGTTTAAAGATAAGAAGAGCGCTAAACAGGAATTAAAAGGAAGCTAAAGAAAATCACTAAATGCATGTTCTGCATTGACCACTGAAAATGCACTTTCATTTTTTCTTTTAATACGAAGATTAGACTGACCAAGTCAACTTGCCTCAAAGGCTTCCCAGGCCTGCTGGCCTTGTAGATCTCCAGCTGCCGAACAAAAGTTAGTTCTGCATCATATAACACAACGTATCTTGGTTCTACTTCGTGCAGCACCCGAGTGAGCGCGTAGGGATCGCCGCAACCCTGCAATGGATGAATAATTGTGAGTGGGTTCTTGAAAATCCCATAGTAACAATCTGAGGGTAAGTTCATATGGAAATCTTCAGGACTCGTCTCTTCAATACTGCTTTCTTGGCTACTGCCCAATTCTTTATTATCTTCCACCTCTAACTCCTCTCTTTTTTCCTCCTCGGTTTTCCCTATCATTTCCGTTATAGTCCGGTCTTGCTGCTTTTTGTGTTTATTTTGTTTTGAAGAAGCTGTGAGTTTGGCTTTTTTGGCTTGAGGTGCTGTGTCTGGTCTGGCATTTCCTTTGGACTTGACAGTTTTTGTGTCCTTCATCCACACTTCTGCAGCTTTCTCATCCTTTCCGAAGGTTTTGTTATACAGCCTTGTTAGAAAAGCTTCTGCTCCAGCAACAATATACTCCCTGAGCTGTGCACAAGCTCGGTCATCACTGGCACAAATAAGCACTTGCCCTGCAGTCAAGAAACAGTATGTTTATGATCTGCTGTGCTGTACTTCTTATCCAGCTACAAGACATCTCTTGAGCAAATTGTTTTTAATGATCCTAGAAGCATGTCTGCCAAAAGCCTTTACACTCGGTTGTCACTGTTGCTCTGGGCTTTCAAGGAGTCTAAATTACATGATGTTTTGTATCAAACAAGATTAGAGAAGGTTAATGAAAGTTCAGCATTCCTTATTCTTACACCATATAAAATAGCAGATACAGCATGTATTGAAACATACTCAGATAACTTTTTTTAATTTAAAACGTGTATGTAATAAGAACTTATTTTAGACCATTCTAATTTCCAGCCTTTGTCAGTTGTGTTAAAGAGTCTAAAAAACATGTTTCACACAGTACTATTGACATTTGTGGGCCCTGAATAACAATTCTCCACGAGCTGACTCAGATAAACTCCTACTACACTAGGTGAGAGAGCCAGATCTCATCCAGAGTCAGAACACTGTGGGTGGGAGAAAAGAACACTTTTTTACCCTTACTATTTCCTAAAATAAAACTTGGTGAAATTTAAGGGGATGAAAAGCCCTAAAATAGTAAAGGCAGCAAAGCAGTTAGTTAGCAACACACTTGCCTTCTACTCTCTACCCGATTTAGTTGCGTGTCCTGGAGAAGCAGATTTTCAGGTGCTTGAGAATATGTGAGATGGAAAGGGCGTAAGACAGAACCCCTATTTGATTATTTTTTTTAAAAAATGGAACTCAATAAAGGAGTGAATGGTACCTTGATTATTATAAATTCCCACATTAGCCTCAGAACCAATAAAACTAATAAGGTATCAGTACAATACTGAAATGTAAGTTAAAAATATTTTGCAGTAATAATACAGGCTCTTTCCTAAAGGGTACTGCATAGTAACCAACAGCATCTCTCTTTCAGAACAACAACTAAATAGGAGTCTAAGAAAAACTAAATAGTTTTACATAGTTTTTATGTATGTATACATAAACTCATGTTTTAAGTCCACAAATTATTAAATTTAAAACTAGCTCTCTTATGGAACTCCTTAAAGAGTTAGGCTCCTTCTCTCAAGAGTTGTGTAGAAGTAAAAACTTGCTGTACTGTGAAAACTTACATCATTTAGTATTCTCTCACCTGGACCACCAAGGTCTTCACTATTCTTATTCTCATTTTCAATCTCTTTCAGTACTTCTGTCAAAGCTTCCCATTTGGGGTTACTTTCCAGAACCAATTCCCTTTTCAGTTCTGAAACACAAGATTGAACACAGCAGCTCTTACAGCCAAAATATTCTTCAGAACTTTAAATTCATGGTTAGATATCAGTAGCATGATGGCTGTTGGCAAATACAATATTCAAGAGCCTACATATGCAACTTGTTATGATGATGGGCTGGAGAACACTCTCACAGAAACATTTTAAAATGGGGATAAGTGCTTTAGTGAAGCAAAAAGTTAAAATATTCACTCATTCTTCAATTCTTTTAATAAAAACCATGGCACCCTCCTACCCGTTCATATAAAATAAAGAAGATCAAGCTAAACACCAATGTAATTCAAGAACAATTCCATAAAAGCTCTCCCAATGATCAGCTGAGCAAGTTTAGAAGAACCCCTTACTTCTGCGTGACTCTGTTTTATGTTGTTTATTATATGCTTTTTGAACTAAGATTATGCCTCAGCTTATCCCAACTAACAGATTGGGATCTTGAGCTGCATAAGATCATGTAGGGAGCCACAGCACAAGTAATAATATGCAGAGCATTTGAAATCGTGTGACACTCTCAAACTTAAAATAAGGAATGATCAGTACCATTTTCCTTCTTTACATCACTTTTTCCAGAGACTTTGCCTTTCTGATTCAGTTTCTCATCTGCAATGCGATAAACTCTAGCTCGAGCGTTTACAAACATTGAAGTACTGGAGTCAAGAAACAGCCAACCTAAAGAGGAAAAGAAAGCAGGAGTAGTTTGACATCTGCAATGTGTATGCGTTTCAGCCCTCTCCAGTAAAAGCTCCAAATCTCTCATCTGGAATACCTCTGCTACCTGCTTGCTGTGTAATTACTAGCTTCATAGGAGACAGAAATGTGATGCAGATCTCACACTGTTAAGTAACAGCAGTTAAGTGGGAAGATGAAAGCATTATCTGTCAATAAAAACCTACGTCCTTATGGCTGGTTATATAAAACCTAATTAGATACCTTCATGTGTTTAGGAATGTTAATTAAAAATATCAACATTTCACTGTTTCACACGTTAACTTCTATGGTTATTCAGTGCTTACCTGAATTCTCACCAAAAGCTTTTTCACTTGCTTTCAGTGACTCCAGAAGATTAAGGAAAGTGACACAATCATACTGAGTTAGATACAGTAGCAAAGTACGTAGTATCTTCAAATCCTGGACCAAAGATTTTGTCTTAGTTCCAAGTTGATGCCAGAGGGGATCTAAATAGTGACGTATTGTCTAGAAATACAAATTGGAAAGTTCAGGATGGCAAATATATAGTATAATAATCAAGATCAGAATGCATTTTTTTCCTTTACAGAGGATGCCACTAGTTTCCCAAAGTTATTAAACATATCCAATTAAAGATGTGAGGGTGAGATATTTTTTTTTGAAGTAATCGTTTATTGCAAAGTTACCATAATATAGATGTCTTTATGTAAAACATTTCAACAATTAGCAGATGTACATCATCTAATGTTTTCAGTGTATAGTTTCCTTTCCATATAATGATAAAGTATTAGTAAAATAAAAAAACCACCTTATTTTACTGGTAGTGGCCTGTGCCTTTAGTATTCAGTATCCTTTACTTAAGTAAAAAACATTATAATGCCATCTCATTTTCAAAATGAGTACCACACAGATAAGCAACCTACAGAGCAGAAGAAAAAACACTCCAACTATTTAAAGTACAGAAGCAACTGTAACATCACCCTCACAGATTAACACAGTCTCTCTCCATGTACCAGTAATAAACATGTCATGGGAGAATACTAAGTTGCTGCTGGTTATTAATTTTACAAATAATATTTTTGTTTGCATGGCAGACAATCTGAAGACCTACATCCCTTTAGACACGGCAAAATAATCAAAATGTTACCTTGTCAAAAGGTTTACCGATAGCATTTTCTAAAGATAGATCTTCTACTTCAAGAGCTGGATTATAGCGCTTGAGTTCTCTCAGACACGCGTTCAAAATGTCCAGGATCGAAGTCTGGATGGCAAGCATAGCAGGGGTCATGGACACATGGATTTCCACCACTTCAGGTTTATGCTTCTCTAAAAATGAGTTCACTGCTATATGAAATCTAAGAGGAAAACAGCTTATTAAGATTTACATGGATGGTTTGCTTGACCTACAATTATTCAAAAGTTCATATTTAAAACAATCATAATTGTAGTTTGTATAAAGAAGTTCATTGAAAAATAAATCAATTTCTACAGCTATGAAGACTGCAATCTTACGAACAGCCTCAGAAAACCACCTATTCCACAATTCTGACTGTAGTCATTCTAGTCATGTGAACCTATACACTGTTGCTGAATGATCCCTGGAAAATCACTGTGCTACATTCTACATCATTATTACACACAACAAGCATTAATGTAAAACCAGAAAATCTCCTAAGGGAGAAACTGGAATGGGCTCACAAATCCTTTGGAATTACAGGGACCCACTAGCAGGTTCTGTGATATTCCCAGCTTCTCTTTCTCAGCAGCAGGTCCCCGTTAGGTCACTGCCCTTAGAGCCAGTGCGGTTGCAGAGGGACACAGATGCGGCTGATGTTCACTAACAGGACGAGGCTCAGAGCTCCATGTCTGCTGACCTTGGATACTCAAAGGGCACTTCCCTTAACTGCGTGCTGCACCCCCAGCCCTTGTCATGGCTCAGAAGCCAAGGAAGAAAGTTTAGGGAGCTTCTGTTCAACCTTTCCTATCCTGGCTATGTCCATTTCTACTTCTTTGTGATACTGAAAGAAAGACTGTTGAAGAATTCACAATTCAGAGCACCAGCACGTTAAGATGGAGTGAAATACATCCTAGACCGGACTGAAGGAACCAAGGGTGGAGCTCCTGCCCCAGGCAAGAGCACTGAATGGGTAATCAGCTCAAGTGCCCAGTTACATTTGTGGCTCTCCTTCTGAAAGGCTTAATGCGTGTCACAAACTCGGCAATTTGGTTTCTATCAGTCACCAAAAAATATTCTTCACACACAACATACATATAAAGGATGATTCAAAAAATGTGACATGTAGAAAGAGATCCATGGAATTTCATCACAGTTGGAAACAAGTGCCTCCAGGAATGGCAGAACTGAGAGACTGTACTCTTATTTATGGCATAAATAAGCTGTTTAATGAGTGAAGTATTTCCTGAACTATTAATAATGTCACTTTCTGCTGTGATTTCTATTGGCTAAAAGGACAGCTATACCATAAGGCTCAGCCCCTTATAGATGTAACTTGGGTCCATCTTCAAAGCTACCTACAGAAATTTAGCACCTTTAAGACCACTTCTTCTGTCAAAAATTGAGTGAAATTTGTTTGGGAATACAAGAGGGAACAGAGATTAGCAGTGTGCCTGCACACACCTCACTTTCTTAGGAACTCATTGTAACATCCTTCATCTTTTTTTTTTTTTTTTTTTTTTTAAAGTTTAGCTCTCCAGTGAAGTAAAGAAGCGCCTTACCTTGGCCACAGATAAAGCTTCCGGACAAAAAGACTTCTCATCACCCTTTCCACATGGCAAAAGCCAGTGTTAAATGCAACTGCATTGTCTGTAAAAGCTTTAATGAAGCCTTGCTTGTTCTTCTGGCGATAAAGTCGCAAGATAAACCCTTCCTGGCAGGACTCGATGATTCTATGTGCTTTGTATACCAAAATGCCTGGCAAAATAAAGGTTTTTTTAAGTTACAAAAGTCAGGTCCAATTTTGTATAGATTTTTTTTTCCTCAAAATTCTTTAACACCTTTTCTTGAATGAAATATAATAGGAATTTAAATCTTCTAAAGCAATAGTTGAGCAAACATTCAGGAGTTCAAGTCAAGTGATTCCTCAGTTTCAATACCATGGAATCCACAAATAACAGAACTGGGCTAACGATGCATCTTTAACAAAAAAATACTTGTGCTTGATTGATTGGTAGGACTTACTAGCTTAGCAAATTCTTTAATCCTAAAGCAAAACTTTAACTGAGCCTTTGAAGAGGAGTACAAGCAAACGCAAGTTGTAACACACTATTACAACAAAGCAAGTTTGGTATGTTCAGAATTATGACATATGAATTATTTTGCTACAGAAGTTCTGGAATTACAGACTTGCCAAGTTTGTTTCATTGGTAAGAGTTCAAGTCTTTATATAATCAAAGAACTTCTGAAAAGCTTTATTTTGCTTTTCCCTCCCTTCTGATAGCCATATTCACACTTGAGGACAGAAGGTACCACCAACCATATAAGTTCACCACTAATTTTCTTAATGGCTATGGGTGTATTAGGAAAATACATGCACATAGATTTATCACACACATATTTGCAGGATTTATACTTCACTCAAGGCCTGTAAAAATCAAGGCTTATTTTTTCTCATGGTTAATTGTGTTCAGTAGCACATTACAGTTTTTCATCGTCCCCTGAGTGAAGCCTACTTTTATCTGTTCACAGCTTCCAGTGGAATAACAAATGTCTTTCTAAAATGAAATCAAAGGACATCAAAAATCACAGGTTTTACCTGGTACCTACATAATTGACAAACTTAAAGTGCATTTAATTTCTATAACAAGTTTTTCAACTTAGCACCCAGACATAGATTTTAATAAGCCTTTACTTTATAAATGAAAAAGCATCTATAAGAAAAAGAGTGCCATAAAACTATTCATTTCACGGTCAAGTCATGGTAAAAAGTATTTTTCTATCTAGATAATCTTACATCTCTCCTATAAAGCAATTTTTTCAGGACATGGTAGCGATCACACTAATTTCTGAACGTCTTCCAGTTTGTTAAGATATAATTCTAAAAGAACATTACAGGAGACACAGAATTTGTAATAGGCCAGTAAGACTATGTGTTTATTAGAATAACCTCCTACTTTTAGTCAATATTTCTCTGCTTATTAAGTGAGTTCATACTGCTGTGTAAGCCTTGGTAGAAACAACTTGCCACTGTTTACTACACAAACTCACATTAGTTTGACTACAGTATTAAGTACAGAATTTCTATATGGCCAAAACCACCAGGAATAATTCTTCTTTACTGCAGTGATAATTTCTTATCCTCATTTAGCTGAATTTACGAGTTCATCAGATGTTGTTTATAAAATCAATATAGAATCACACATAAATTAACACTTGTGACACCTGGAAGCACTTTCCTGATTTTTTTTTTTTGTTGTTGCTATTTTAACTCCTCAAGAAACACTATTACGAATTTTTGTCGTACAATGTCACACAGAGATGATACACGTTTCCAACAGAACCCCGTTACCAAAGTCCTAACTCAAGCAGGAAGCCTACCAACGCCGCTGTCACAGCGACCTCTAGTGGCAGCGAAAAAACAATAGCAGCTCTGTATCATTAGAGGACAGCACAACTTTTTAAACCTTTAATGTATTTCTTCTTTTCAGACACAAAGTCCAAAGGTTTCTCTCTCTTTTTTTTTTTTTTCCAGGCAGAAAAGTAGAGGGGAAGGTGTCAAGGAGAATAAGAGAAATTAAAGTAGGTTGCACAGAAAATTTGTTCACTTTTTTTTTTAACCTAAAAATATTGTAACTGACAAATCTGGTGTCCTTGGCTCTAGCATAAAACTGTTGAAAGTGTTTTACATATTAGAGCTTGTTTCACATTGACTAAAAGGAAGGGAATACAGCTTCTGAAGCAGAAACTTATTTTTTTCTTAGCATTCAATATTTACTTATGTTTAGCCATTAAGAAGATGTTAACATTTAGATGACAGTAAAATATTTTTCTGTTCCTGGCTCTTAGATATCTATTTTACTAGCTTTCCAGGCATTTACAGGGTTTCCAGCTTAGACAAGAACACAAAAACAACAGGGGCTGGGGGACAAGGGGAACAGAGCATTAAAGAAGAAATATAATTGTAATATGTTTCATCATAATTTCTACGTAACAACAAAAAAGGTCACAAGCTATTCCCCAAAATCTTTACAAGGACAGCAGCAGCATTACTTCATAATATTGCTCTTTAGATAGTGTTTCCAAGGTGTATCAAGACAAAGATTAGTAAGATATGGCTATTTTTTGACAGAAAGAGTCATCAGAAGTAATTTGTTAATATAAAAGTAGCATGCAGAGTTGATAAAACATGACACTTAAAATCATTTTCAGACTTAGACCACGTACTGAGAATATTCTGGACACTATTTCACCAAATGCAATCAATTCTTCTCCTTGGAAAGCCAGTCTGAGTTTCATGTGTCAATGGCATAGTTTGATTTGTTTTTCAGCCAGTTATCGATACCAGAAAGTCATAACAATGCATTATCTTAAAATAGTGTAGATGGCTTTAAATTGTATGATTAAATAATGCAAACAAGTTTGGAGCAAAAAAAGCTTCTTTTACCTGAGTTTTTGTGGAAAAAAAAGGAATAATTCTTCAGCCCCGGTACTGGTCACTAGAACTTCTCATACAGAATTAAGCTTTATGTATTTTCAAACAGAAGAGCCTTACCTTTATTTCATTAAGCTCTTACCGGTAATGAGATTTGCAGGAATTCTGTCTGTAAGGAAATCCACCACAAGGATTCGACTTGTTGCAAAGATGACTCCTCCTTGTGTGTAAAATTCGTATCGGGTATTATTCGTGATTTCATTAGTAACACGCCGAGGGAGATGAACGACTCCATCTGACCTCAGCTGATCAATAAAATACTCCTAAACCAAATACAATAAAAACACATTTCATTGTGGTGACTGATGAAACAGATGCAAAAAACCCTAAACTCTGAAGAGCTGTGCAAAGCAAATAAAATCCATGACAGTGTAAGATTCCACTTAAGGAAGAATGACCATGACTTTTTTTCTTCTTGGGTATACTTTGCTCAGTTTCAAACTCAACGAAGCGCTTTAAAAACTCTATGTATTTTCAGTAGCAGCTAGACAGTACTTAAGCAAATACGAGCCACCAACACTCAAAGGAGCTTACATTTTCTCTTACGTTTTATTAGCTGTTTCAGAGAAGAGGCAATTTTAACACTGACACGAAGAAAGAACTGGGCAGAGAGAACCTTTTACTCCATTCCCCTGCTACCCACGCCAACCACAGCAGGTAGGTCACCTACATCAAGGCCACTCTTGAGAGCTGCTGCCGCGGTATTTACTCACCGGGGGGCACCAACCAAAAGCCCCGTAACATCCCCTCCCTGACGGTGGGAAATCTACCCGGTTCCGGGGAAAACACAGCGGCATTTTTTGTGCAAGTAGGGCCAAACCTGTCAGCAAGTTTCACCCCTCCGTGCTCGATAGCTACCGACAGATTCCTGCCGCTTACGCGGTATGAACGATGACAGGGATTAAGAGGAGCCGCGCCCGGTCGGACACCTTCTCCCCGGCGGGTTCAACGCCCGGGGCTCAGCGCTGAGGGACCAGCGGGTGCTCTGCGATGCCGCCCCCCGCCCCAACCAGCCCCTCCACCCCCGGGCCCAGCCACCGCCGGGGCCGCCGGCCGCCCCCGCGATGCGCCCGCCGAAACCCTGAGGGGCCGGCGGTGAGGGGGACGGGGCGGGGCGGGCCGCGGCTGACAGGGCGCTCCCCTCACCTCCTCAGCGGGGCTGGTGTTGAGCACCAGCACCAGGCTGGCGGGCTCGCAGTAGAGGCGGAGGAAGCGCAGCAGCAGGCGGTCGACGCCGAGCCCGCGGGCGCAGACCACCAGCCCGTCCTGGTGGAAGAGGTCCAGGAAGATCTGGCTCTCGTGCTCCAGCAGCGCCGCCATGGCCGCCGGGGGAGCGGCGCATGCGCGCCGGCCGCCGCGCCCTCCCGCCGCCGGGGTGGCAGCGCCCCCTGCCGGGCGCGAGCGGGGCGGTCCTCCCGCCGCCAGTTTTCCCGCCTGCAGCGCGAGGCGCCTCAGGCGAAGCGCCTCAGGGTGGGGGTCAGTGGCGGCGGCAGAGGTTGAGGTGGAGGATCCCGAGACCCACCGGCGTGAAAAATGAGGTGGGAATGGGGACTTATCCGCCCGGCAATCCCCCACAGGTGCTCGCCTTCAGGCGAGCTGGAGCCCCCTTTCCTACTCCTGTGTGGGGTGTGTGTGCTGGGTGCAAGTGTGAGATAGTGGGGCTCTTTTCCCTTTTCACCATAAATTATTTGTTGTTTGTTACTAATTGCTTGCATTTCTAAAGCAACAAAACTAAACTTGACTGAACTTGAGCCTGCATTCCTCACACAAGGGATCAGTACCTCGGTATTTTCCTGGTACCTCAGTTTTTAGCGTCCCTGCCTCTGTCGGTGCAGAAAAGGCCGTTTGCTCTCTCAGGGGTGAGAGGCTCTTCAGGCCTGCTTTCGGAAGCAGCTCACAATGAAGGACGCTCCTCAAAGTTACCCTACAATTCAGTTTGGTGAAGGGCAGGTGAACTTGTCTGCCTCCAGCCCCCCTTATAATAATCAATTTTTCAGGGTCTACTGCAGGGGAGGTGGATGCCACTTCAACGGGGTCAAAATCACCCTCTGAGAACGCGAGGGGGGAAGTGTGACAGCTTCTTTTGCAGGGCTATGGGGCACAGGGACAGTGTACAACCAGCTTCTCCCCTAATGCGAACGTGTGAAAGAAGTTCCAAGTCTTTTTTGATTTACACTTGATAGGAATTCCCAATATTTTCCCCCAAATCGTCTTCTTTTGGTAAAATGCTATTACCAGAGCATTGAGTCAACTGTCTGATGCATTCAAATGAACACTTTCAGTTCTCTGTTTCACA